TTCACCACCTTGTTAGTGCTCCCTATGAGTGTACAGCTTTCCAGGGAGCTGCCTGGAGTAGGACTCAGGAGTTGGATTTGCTGATCCTTGTGGGTCCCTTCCAATTCAGGATATCCTGTGCTTCTGTGACTGCCTCAGCATGGAGTTGTTTGAGCAGCCTGTCCCAGAAGTGATGTCCTGCACTGGCAGACCCTCAGCTTCTTGCTCCCATGCCCAGTTTCCTTTTGGGGGTTCAGGCAATGCAGTGCCAAGCTATTTTAGGAAGAAGCTTCCTCAAAGGTTTGAAGAGGAGCTTGTCAGAGGGGTGATCATCAGAAATCCTTGAGCTTCCCTTCTCTAACTGTTGTTTAATTTAGTGCCTTGTTCCTTCCCTACATAAAACTGTTCTTGGCTAGGTTCAGACTTGATTCTAATTTATGTCTGTCTAATATTAGGATGGATACTAAGAATAAGGTACCTAATACTGTGATATTGCCAGAATGTTGGCAACTGTAAGTGCATCTGGAATATGTGTCAATTGACACTCATTTGTTTTTTCTTTGAGCAATGATTAGATGGATTTCACCAGCCATAAAACAGGTTATCCATAAGTATGGTTTGCCCTGTGCCATAGGAAGCAAACCCATTCCCTGTTTTTGACATTCCCTGCATCTTTCATGTGGAGGGCCATTGGTGTTTGGGTGCTATTTCTCTTCCAGGCTATTAAGATCTTATTTTTATGCTACAATTCAGAGTGAGAGGGGAGCTGGGGGTTGTGTCTGACCCTTCCACATGGGGAAAAAACAGATTTCATTGCTCTGAAGGCACAGGATTGGGACCAGGCCAATGGTGGGATGTTCCTGTTGCAGAAGGGGCTCCTCTGTGGAAGATAACATGGAAGTCAGCTGGAGGAAAAAGACATCATTCCAAGATATGCTGCTCCAAAGGGTAAATAGGAGGCAATCCCTGAGCCTGTGGAGGGGAAAAAGGAACAAATCTTCAGGAGGTGTTTAATTTTCCAAGCAGACGTTGCACTGGGATGAATCAGGGTCATAAGGCAGGGTCAGGAAATGTCTCTCCCCAGCACCAGCTCCATGCTTCTCTTCAAATTCATTTAGGATTGGAGCAATAAAAACGCTGCTCCAGATGGCAGGGGTAGCACTCCCTGTGACATGGAGAGGGGCTGCTCTCTGAAGGCCAAAGGGATGAGGGGGTGAATAGGGAGCTAGGAGGTCAGGCAGAGGAGGGAGTGGGAACAGCCACACCATTTTAGCTGCAGGTCACTGCCTCCAAAGGCTGGGGCTGGCAGGTGGGGGAGCATATTAACAGTCAGAGTCTCTTGGCTGGAACAACATTCACGGGTGTGTGATCTGTTCTGTTGTTTCCATAACCTGGCATTACAAAGGCCAAAGAATAAAAATGTGTCCCCTCTCACCTGGCTTCTGGGGTGAGCTCATTGGACATATGGTATCCCAGATTTATTGTTCTGATTTATGGTAATAAATCCCCTTTTTACAGGGAAATAGAGGAAGAATCAGAGAAGTAGAACTAGCAACTGGGAAACCAGTGATCAATGTCCACTCTGGGAGAAAACATTTCTGACCAAAACTGCTCCCAGCTGTATTGTCTGGGAAGTCACAGTAAATTCCTAGAGGAATTAATTTCTTTGTTATCGTCTTTGATTAGCATCTTTATCATGCTAGCTGAGGGATTGCACTGCTGTCAACAGGGAACTTCTGCTAATCGATTAAAAATGTTTTTTCACTTCTTTATGCACCTGACTTATCTGATAGAGGGGAAAAAATCTGATAACGTGTCCTGGCTCAGAGAAAAATACTAAAAGAAAGTTGGAGGAGAAAGGTGGGGAAATAAAAGTGGATTTTCTCAAAGGATCTATTTGGAAATACAAAGTAAGTTGTCAGTGAAATGCATTCAAGGGATTATCTCTCTCTGCCATAAACTTTCAAGTACAAGACCACAAGGAAATGAAATTCACCTTCACACTCCAACATGCCAATCTGATCCAGCCATAGATGGAAGCAAAGCCAGGGAATGCATGCTGCAGCCATATGAAGACATGAAAACTAGCAGACAGCTAAGAAAGTCAGCAGTCTAAATGGTCAAGACAAACGAGCTGTTTTTTGGGCCAAGTTGGCTTTGTTCCTGGCTTTCAGAAGCCCACACATGAGCTCCCTGAACTTTGGAGCAGATAATCAGGTTAGCTCCATTGTGCTCTTATGGAACAATTCAACGAGGTATTTTCAAAGTGCTGTTGGGTTTTTGTTAATATAAATGTCACACCTTTACAGAGTGACCCCATTTTCCTTTCTTCCCAACAACAGTAAAAGTGCTCGAGGGCCTCAATCTGCAAGTGCTGCTCATGAGTTATTAACAAGGCTTCTCCTGCCAGCGAAGTTGTGCACAGGGTGAGTGGTTATGGAGCTGAGCCTTTGGCCCAGGGAGCCCATTCTGCCTTAGAAAGATGCTGAGAATGTGCTGGTAATTGCACATTTTAAAAAGCCAATTAAAAGATGATTAGTGCCACAAACAGCACAGCCTAACCAGAGGTGAGCCCCTCATCTTTGAGACAGAGCCCCGCTACACACACATTTCCATCATCTCTATGTAGCTGTTTAACTCACAAAAGGGGCTGAAAAATCTGGCAGTCTGACCACATATTTTCCACTTATGAAAATGAAATGTGTGTGACCATTTCTCCAAGCTGCCTTGAGAGTATCCTACCTATTAACTTTCCACATAACAGATTTCCCTGAGATTTTCCACCTCTCTAAAAAGCCTTTCCCACGTTGGCAGTTCCCACAGGAGGATCTGAGGCTGCAGCTACCTTCATTGTTTGGGAAGCCTGAGGGGAAGGTAAGTCAGTACTTCTATGCGAGAGAGCACAGGTGCAGATTATATTAATGCTCAGAGAAAGAGATTGCTTTGATTCCTCGGTGAAAAACCTGCTCCCTCTCAGCTTCCCCACTGTAAGACTGCAAAGACCTTTTTGGGGATAAAGAGTGGCTCAGTAGTTGTGACTTCTCTCCTTGACTGGTCCTGCTAGCAAACAGCCTGCAGTCCATTGACATGTCCATATTCTTTCCAGCTTAACAGCAAGGGAAATGACTGAATGCTGCTCTTTCCTTGTAGGACAAGCTGAATGTCTAATGTGGCTTGCAAGACATAAGAGCCTTCTTTGAAAGTGGAGGATAAAACTCTCCTTCCTCCCGAAGGTGCTCTATAAAGTCATCAACTCCCTCCAAGCTGCTGTGAGTTCAGAACTCAGTTTCTGTAAGGATCTTTTCGCTGGTGTAGTCCAAGCACTTGTGAGGGATGTGCACTCATTTTATTACACAAACATCAGTGTATACCAGTACTTAAATATACAGATGCAAAGGCTTCAAACTGTGCATGACTTTGAAGTCCTGTTACAGAAGTCTTCTGCCTAATTAAAATCTATTTTGGCCTCTTTTGCTGATCCTGTTTTATCTGATAAAAAGAGAGAGAGCCTACTTTCTCCTAGATGCCTACCTTAGGCTTCTCCTTCCATGGGCAACAGGGTATGAAAACTGGGATGTCATGACATTAGCTGGCCAAAACAGAGGAAGACAAGTATTTTGGTTACATTTCCTTTGCACCCTGCCTCTTACTTTTCCATTTTCCTATTTTCTCTACATGTTTCCACCTCAGTTAATCTCATTTTGTTTTCCTTCTACTCCTAATTTCCTCTCCACTATTCAAGCAATTTATGCTTCTGGGCTGGTGTTTGTCTTTGCCCCTTTGCCCCTTCTGTTCAGTGAGAAACACAATACTTTAACCTTCTTACTAAACCCCATGTCAGGAAGATTTAAGAAATATTTACATGCCCTGGCAAAACCACAAACTGTTCTAGGTGCCAAAAATTAATACAACTGAGTAACCATCTGGAAATAATAGCAATAGTTTCACCATTAACTTATAATAGTCATAGCGTAGCTGAAGCTGCTTACATTTTACCTATACTAAAATACCAATTTCTGAACCATATGTAGGGAGGTTAGACTGCAGTTTGACAGTTTGTGCTGCCCTTGAAATTTTTGCCATCAAGCATATTTTAAAAAGCCAATTGATGGCGCCCTGTGTGGTGACAATACCTCTATTTCTGTCTGTCAGTAATGGACAGCATGTGAGAGGTGGTATATTGCATTGCAATGTATATAGTTTCTTCAGCCTGGATTAGGTCTCTGCTTTTGACCTTGAGAGCCTGAAACAGCAGGTTTCCCTGCTGCTTTTGGCAGGTGGTGACACAAGAAGACTTGCCCTTAACACTTTGCATGATCCCGATGGGGTTTGAGGACAGACAGGCAGTGGTGAGGGTCTGACTGACTGACTGACAAGCCCTGGGTGTGACACTGGCCTGAAGCAGCACAAGAGTTTTTGGGACAAGGCCCAAGCTTTGGTGGCTTTGGGCCCTCTGTAGGGTGAGCCCACAAAAAGGACCCACAATATTTTCTGGGGATCCTGCCTTTTTATTTGACATGCATTTAGAGAACAGCAACATCAAATAAAGGCTGTAATCAGATCTGCTCACTATGTCAGCTTGAATGACTTTTTTTACTCTGGGTCATCTTCGTGCACAACCCTTTCCCTCTCCCGTGGGCAGAGCCATTCCCAGTGTGAACACCTCCAGCAGGATCATTCCCTTACACCTTCTTTGTGTAAGAATGGGACACGCAGCCTGGTGATGGGAGCAGTGGTGGTGGGGGCAATGTCAGATGTGAGACATCCCAGAGTTGCACCAGACATGGAGATACTCCTTATGAGAAGCCTCTGGGAGACACAGGGGTGACCCTTGCTGTGTGGGAAATCTTTGCAAACTCTTTGAACTAAAGCAGCTTTTTAAGCTAAAATAGAAGTGCATTTAGACTCTCTGAACACTGGCAGTACTACTTGGTGACAAATTTGGTACTTTCCCCGCTAGCCTGTCATTCAAAAGATTTTAGTCTGTGTTCTTGCCTCACCTGCTGTGTCTTTGTATTTAGAAAGAAGAGATTCCTTCCTTGCAGAGCTGCTGTTATCCAAAGGACAAAATACCAGTCAGCACGACTATTGTCTCCTCTGTCACAGGTATGAGGAAAGAGGGAACCTTTATTAATGGAAATTTAATTTGTCATATGTGATTTGCAGACTGATGAACAGGCTTATTTATAACGCTGTAAAGGAGCAGTGCTAGAGGTGATGGTACAAGAATAAATTTTGAAGAATTAAATAATAGTACTTCCAGTTTAAACAGGAATCTCAGCTCCATCCAGTCAGCCCTAAGAAAATGCAGAGCATGTAACATCTAATTCTGTACTAAGGAGTTTGGGGAGGAATTCCTCAAACTTGTGTGCCCAACCACAGAGTCTTTGGGAAGCATTCTCTCTACTACACTAAGAGGAAAAAATCCCATTCTTGAGACAAGATGAGAACTCGCACAGTTAGTGACACCACTTGTGTCATAGAGTGGACGTAAATGAGAGCTCAGGTCGCCTGTGTCCCTTGTGAGCTGGTCTTTAGACTTTAAGTGTGTGGCTGCAGCTCCTCCTACACTGGAGCCAAGTCTGCTTGCAGACCATGACCCTCTTGTCCTTTCTCTCCTGGAGCAGGGTAGGGTGGGGATCCACCTGGGACCCAGACACTGTGAATGAGCTCTTCTGTGGGGAAGCACAGCTGGGAAAAGCTGAGTCACTGATCTGCTCTTCAGAAGAGAGAAGATTAAGTAGGAGGCAACACTGCTTCCTTAACACTTTCATTTAGAGGTAGATGGATGCATTCTGAAATGAACGATAATCACTTAATCTGCGGCTGCCTACAGTCTGTCTCAGGACATTTAACAGTGTTATCTGAGATGCAGTGTTATCTGAGATGGAGTGGTGGGCAGATTTGTACAGCACAGCTTGATGTTGAGAGTCCATTAGATTTTCATCATTTATTCTCTTTATTGATTCACTGTTACACCACACTGCTGCTTCTCAGAAGTCAGGTAGTGGCCTAAAAAAATAGTTCCTCAATTTCCTGACCTCCACTGAAGTCCTAAATTTCTGTGCTGTGTTTCCAAACAGGTCCTCAGCTCTCCAATCTTTTTTCTGACATCAGGTAAGCAACTTGACCACAAATTAGATCTCTATTTTGGACGTGCCTGAGTGCACATTGCACTGCAAGCCTTAAATTCAGGCCTTGGGTTCCCAATACTTCACTCTCTCCTCTCATTCACTTTCTTCTTCACTTCTCTGGGTGAGAGATCTCTGTATTTCTGTTCTACTCCAAATACACCTCTCACTCCAGTCAGGTTTTGGTACTTTTGATAAGGATACCAACAAATGCCCCACCAGCACAGTCAGAGGCTGTGCAGAACCTGCTGCCACATAGGAAAAGGGGACAAGGTGTTTATTGCAAACTGGATGGAAGTACCCTGTGGTTATCTGAAAGGATCACCTTGTATGAATGGGTTAAATAGTTTTGAAAGTAGTTTTTAAACAGTGAGGCTATGCAGTCTCATTGCATTGAGTAAAGCCTGAGCAAGCCCACTTCTTACACTCTGTGTGTAGGTGAAGCCACTCACCAGAGCAGTTTGCTCCTGGCAGCCCAGGAGAAGGATGGTCACAGTCTTGCTGCATCTGAGGTCATTGTATTTATCGTGTCTTTCCCTGCAGTGTCTGCTCTGGGGATGGACATAGGATACCTATCTGCAGAGCTGCCAGTCAATAACTTGCAATTATAATCACCTAGTTTTTAGGCTAGAGAACAATCACCCTGCACCAGGAGATAAGGACAAGTCAGTGAGTTAGCTTGGTGTGTTTTGCTGTTATCTCTCTATCCATGCTGTTCTGAGACTCACACGCAAAGTCTCTGGAGAGTTCCCTTGTCTTTCTGCTGGATGCCTAACTGCTAAATTTTGTTGGAAACTAGTCCTTACCAGTCCCACTAACAAGCATTAATGGCTCTGTTGAGCCTCAGCAGGGGCTCACCCTCAGACTCTGCCATGCCCAGGTGCTCTGTTTAGGCTCAGACTTGGGTTGGCACTTCTGGCCAGAGTCCTGCTGTGAAATGCTGGTCTCTGGATCATTTGTGCTTGTGCCTGGATGTTTTGGTTTCTGCACTCCACAAGGTGAATTTTGCTCTACTTTGTCTCATTGCTGCCAGAAATGCTTGTGGAGCAGAACCAGGTTTGCAAAAACAGCATCCTTTGTGCTTACAGCCAGCCAGGCACTGTCCAGGAGCAGTGCATGCCACTTTGGAGAGTTGTTGACACGGAGCCTGGAAAGATGTGGCTCTATAATGTACTCATTGTCCTCACATCTCAGCAGTTGTAGTCCACTTTTGGTCTGACTCCTTAAAGGTGAAGAGGAAATGGATTGTGCTTCTGTGGACTCACAACTTCTTACTGCTGGCTGCATGTTATCTGGCAGACTGCTGGGTCCCTGTTTGATAGCTGAGGAAAAATAGAGGAATGTAACAATTCTTTAAATGAAGCAGGAAAATGAACATCAAATTATATATCAACCCTCACAACTACAACTGTGCTGGGTTCCCTTTCAGCTCAGACATGGAAAACGTGCCTGGAAGTAGTTGGAGACACCTATTGTGAATCTGTCTTTACAGCTAATTCCTGAAAGTCTTTCTGTTCATCAGCATCCTTGCATATGCCTTGTGAGCCAGCCCAGCAGGTGTGTGAATGCTGCTTGTTTCCTCTGTCACCAAAACTTGGCACACACAGTGAGTGGGCAGTGAGAACTGCTCTGGAGTCTGCTGCTTGCCCTTTGTGTGTCAGTGTTTCCTGTCAGGCTGTCACAGGACACAAATAACAGGCAGAAGGGATGCAGACAGGGGCAGTGACCTTGGCAGGCTGTTTTCCCAAAAGGCCTGGGGCCAGCCTCTGGTCTTAGACACTCACCATTCCCAGTGGGATTGGCAGGGAAAACTAACAGTGAGGAGGAGTTCTACAAGCAGATGCACTGCTATGGTAAGAGCAAAGTTGCAGTTACATTTGATATTCAATTTGCCAAATTACCTCAGCTGAAAGTAATTTGCAGCAACTGTGCACAAACTCAGCAGGCAGTGGTCCTCGAGGTGAATTTGAATTACTTGATAAGTGTTCAGCAAGTCTCTTTTATGTTTAGGGAATCTTATTCCTAAATTGCCTTTCTCTGTTGGTTGTATGCTTCTTATTTTGTATGTACTTTGTAATTGGGAGTGAAGGGCCAGAGTCTTGGCTCTTAACTGGAGACAGATTTTGGTTGTTGCCTTCGAAATTTTCTTGAAGTGGGATAGTGTTCCTTCCTGGAGCTATTGCTTGGAAGGGAGGAAAATACTGCCCCATATCAGCTGTGAATGTAATAACACATCTGAATAGACACCAGGTTCTTAAGTTAATTTCTCCTTCCTTTTAGGCTTCTTCAGACTGGTCCAGGATTTCTTCTATAAGCTTGTAGTTGTTCTTTCTAGAAAAATGTTTTTAATCAGAAAATGTCAGTCACACTTGAATATTTGCAGTTCAAATGCCGAAGAGATAGATATATTCATGTTAAAAGTCTTTGTGCATTCATCCCTCATGAGATCTAATGTCATGTGGGCTATTTGAATCATCCCAAACAACCAAATTGGCTAAATCAGCAAAACATTGCATAATTATTCAGTGTGCTTTATAATTAAGGGTAAATGCTTTAAAGGAGCTCCTGTGAAGCCTGTGTTGAGGAATGCTGCAGAGGAAGGGTAGAAGAGGATGAATGTGCTGGGTGGAGGGCATGGACTCCCTGATGCAGCCTGAGCCACTGTGTGGAGGTGGGAGCAGGCAGCTAGAATGGGGAATGTTTTATTTACTGTGCCATGCTGTGCATCACACTTAGCATTTTGCTTCCTTTCAATTGCCTTCTGCAGCAAAGGCAGATGTGATGTAAATGATTAATTAGCTTCAAGTGTTATCACTTGGCCTGGGTTTGTCCTGGATGGCCCAGGCTGGATTTGTACATGCAGCTATGCCATGGTGCTTCCTCAGGGAGCCTTTATTTCCAAACAAAGTTCAGGCAGGATGCATAAAGTATAACTCAGGATGGGCCAAGAAAAATAATCAAGGGAGGTTAGATATTTATGCCAAAAAGCAGCCTTCCCACAGATAAACTTGAAAGAAGGATGTGGAGTGAGGCTGCCCTGCCTGGCCCTTCCCCTACAGCCTTCCTCAATGTGCCAAAGTGGAACGTGCTGGGGGAGCTTAGAAACTGGAGTTGAAAGTCTCTCTGCCTTTTTTTTAAGCAGTGAGTCCTATTTTCAGCTAAAGGTGAGCAGAGAGCTGCAGGGCAGTTCAGACTGTACAGTCCTATGCACACACTTCTCCAGTGTCTGGTTTGGTGCCTCTGGTGCATCCTGTCTGTCTGACAGCCTTCTCTCCACTCGGTGCACTGGCCACTTATTTTTCTAGACCCAGCCTGTTGAAAGGGCAAAGGGGATTAAAAGGAAAGCCTTGTAGTCTTGTTCCTTCAGAGCCTGGCAGCCAGCTGGCTCTCCACTCCTGAGAGCCATGAAGTGGTGCACTAAGTCTGCCCTTAGCCTTGAACACTAATTCCCTTTCCCCAGTGACTGTCATTATGCCCATTTCCTAAAAGCTTCTTAGGGCCAAGAGCTACCAGAGGGCTCAGGCAGGTACCTGCTCTCTCCCAGCTCTTGCACAGGCACCTGGGCAGCCAGGGCTGGTGCCAGAGGTTTGAACAGCATCTCAGGGAACCAGGGGCTGGGCCTGCTGAGCTTGGAGGGCAGGGAGTGCCAGAGGGCACTTGGGTGTGGGAAGGCTGCTCTCAGATGTGGAGATTGGGGGATTTTGGGAATGAGCAGGGAGAGATCCATTTTGCTAGGTCAGTGTTACCCCTTCCTATAGGATGGATGGACAGCATTTTGAAGTGTCTTCCCCTATGCCCTTCTGGTTGGGTGGCAGTGCAGCTCCTTCAGGTGATGGGATACCCAAAGGCTGTCCCACAATGCACAGAAATGAGTATTGGCAGGTCCAGCTTCGCTGGAATCCTGGGTCTCACTTCTGTGAAGCTTTCACTTAAATCCAGTTGGACATGGAGGACTGAGACGTTGCAGGCACAGGCACTGGACAGGGCAGCAGTCACAGGAGAATAGAAAAGAGCTTTTTTAGATGTTCCACTGGTATCATCCTGTTTCTTTACCAAACACAAAGCTCTCCTAGGCCCTGCTGTCCTAATTTTATTTTAAATTCACTTTATCAGCCTGGTTGTAGACAGAGTAAAAAGAACTGTTTGGGTCTTTTTTAATTCCTCAGATTTTCTAGTCAGAGACTCACAGAGGAAGCTCATACCTGAGCCATTGGCATTGCCTGTTACTGCCTGTATTGCACTCTTTCTCCCTGGAAGCTCATCCACAGAGATTAATTCCTGTGGGGCCCTCTTTCTCCCTCTTTGGAGTTCATGGCTGTCCCCATTTCTCTGCTGTGAGCAGACCTATCTGGTCTTCTTGGGGATTTCAGCCCTAGCAGTATATTTATTTTTTAAAAAAAGCCTAATACAAGTAAGAGATGGTGCTCATTCTCCACCAAATACTGTAAGGTATTTGCTGAAGTTGTGTGTCATTGGGGCCAGGAAGGGACCCAGATCCATGCACTGAATGGCCATTCATGTCACCTGCCAGCCCTGAGCTTCTTGCTCCCTGCTCACAGATGAGCTGGAGAGAAATGTGGTGTCTTCATGGCCAATCTGGGAGCTCCAAGGGATGTGCTGCACCAAAAGATTCCTCATGAATCCCTTGCCTGGCACTAATGGGAGCATAGCCACAATGAATTAATTAATATGCCCTCTCCAGTAAAAATTGGGTTCCTTAATGGAGATGCAAGGGAGCTTCTCCAAACCTTCTCAGTGTTTAAAACAAAAACTGCCTGCTTGTTAGCTGTGATTTATTGTTTTTGCTTGGGTCCTACAAATGGAATGGATTCAGAAGGTTTAAGCCCAGATGAGCTCATGCTGTTCAGCTGGATGATATTAGGAGTTAATCCCTTTGCGTGGTTCCGTATTCTGTAATACCTCTCAAGCCTGATGACTGCAGCTGTATTTTAAAAGCTTTGTTTTTTTAAGATAATCTGGTGGAAGGGTGAAGCTGGTAGAAATAAATATTCTCTCCTTTTCATAGAAAAGACACAGTATTTTTTTCCACATTTAAACTTTTCTTTGAACTGGCTTGCAAAACAAATTCAAGATTGACTAGAGCCTTCCAGTGATGACTTGTAAAATTCAAATATGTGATAGAGATGCAACTGGTAATGTTTCCCACAACTGCTGCAAGTAATTAAAGGTCTTCTTCACATGTCTAATGACCATTTTGTTTCGTGGCTACTCAATAACTCTTTTGTTCCCTGTGGTTTGTCTTTGTGCTGCTGGCAGTTAGAAAGGCTGGTTTCTGGGAGCCCATGAACTGCTTGGTGTTTTAAATAGCTCATCAACCAGGTAATTTTAGCACCTTCTGGCTGTGAGATAATTAAATGTATGTATAACAAATCTACCCTGTAGACTGAAATGCCAAGCACGTGCTTGGTTGACCCAGGGGTCCCAGCAAGGGTTATTTTTTCAATTCCCCCAATAACAGAACGTTTTGGGGATTTGCTGCTGATGTGAAATCCTCCTATCAGGTTTCTGAGCCATCTACCAAACAGCTGATCCTCTCGTCCAGGTTAACCTTCTTGTTTCCATCTGTGTCACAGGACTCAGAGGGTGGAAAGTAACAGGAAAATAACAGACTTGCTCTCTTTGAAGGATTGTGGGAACACTGCAATGCTCTGAGTTTTACAACATGCCTCTGAGCTAAATATCAATTAAAGTAAGCTTACTTTTGAAAGAAAGCCAGAGGATTGCTAACTCTGGCTTTCTTTGGGATTCTCATGAGTTTTATTTACAGCTTCTGTGTTAAAAAAAAAATTAAAAGAGAGATAGAGAAATCCATACGGTTGCAGAGAAATATGATCTGAGCAAATTCTAATAACTGCAAAGTCAGAAAGCAGAGTAAAGGGTTTAGTATAGGTAAGCAGGCCTGTCTTTTAAGGTCTGAGCTAAAATGCAAAAGTCTCTGGAACACTGTGGTTTGGATAGCTGGCCTTAGTCTGGTCTGTCAGGACCTGTGAGGGTACCAAGGAGCTCTCTCTCCTCCCTAACAGTGTGTAGTGTATCAGCTGCTGCTCTGAGCTTTTTGTGGGCCCATGCTCTGTGTGAAGAGTTGAACTCTGCAGGCACAAGGCAGTGGGGCTCTTTTCAAGATCTCTATGATCCATAGGCCAGTCAAGCAATTCTGTGGGCCTGGCTTTCAGTTTAGGAATCCTTAGGGTTACCAGTGCCAGGGATGAAGCAGAAAGTAACAGAAATGGTGTTTGGAAGGGAAGTAAGTGACAGAGGAGAAACAGATGGGAGGGGGGAAAATCACCTTACTCTTATGTCGTTCATATGGTTCAATTGGTATTTTTTTCATGTGTTTCCTTGATTCTTCTTCCATTCCTTCCTCTGTTCTCCTTTTCTGTTTCTCACCTGCTTAGGTTCAAATATTTGATAGAAAACATTTGTTCCTACATTTTATCTGCAGAAATGCATAGAAGAGATTAAAGTTTAAAGCACCTCTGTTCTAGGTTGGAATTTGTGTAACTAAAATAGATTAACTGCATGGAAATTTGGCCAAGAATATTTTGGCTCTTTTGCTGCTAGAGAACAGTTGGTCTTAGAGTTCACGAATTTGACTTGATAGGGCCAAATGGGAGGCAATTGGTGCTTAATACGGACTTCTGTCTTTTTTTTTTTTTTTTTTTATTGGAACAGCTATCACTAGAATCCAGTGCCCTGGCACTGTGTCCCTCCCTGGGTGGCTGTGTAAAAGCCTTTAGGGAGTAAAGGTGCTGCTGAAAGGTCCCTGCTGTTGTACTTTGTCAAATTTGGAGCTCCAGGAGGTGCTGCTGCCTGCTAAGCACTCAGCACAGCACCTCTTTGTGTCAGACTTGAGCTCTTCTGAGAGATGCATGGGGGAGATCTCCAGAGATTTCACCCACAGGAGGTGACTGCCCATCCCCTGGGCCTCAAGTAACACACCTGGAAATGAAAAGCATTGCATTTAAGAGAAGAGAAGCACATCCAGAAAAGGAAACAGAACTTTCTGCCAGCCCAGTTTATAGAAATTATGTGTTTGTTATTTGATAGGAGGGGATTTTCACTGTAAGATTTAGTGGAAAAGTGCTTCAGCATGCTGTGCCAGGGGAGGGTGTCAATAATGAAGCTTTTGGAGCTCTTGTTGGCTGCATGTGTGGTTTCTCTTTGGCTCCGAGGTGTGGACTCTCCACTGTAATATTTCCAAACGGAAGGAAAGGAATAAACTTAGGCAATCAAAACAGTAATAGTGGCAGTTCAGGTATACTCTTTATATTTTTAAGAATGTGAGAAAGCAAGAATGATATAAAGGTTCAGAG